TAAAGGTACTTTGTCTTCATGACAAAGGAAAGGAGCAAAATGAAATGCATTTTAGGCTGAGATAAATCATTCATTCACTAGAAGTTTGCTTGGGTTTGTTTTGTTTGCAGAGTGCAGAGAACTACTTCCCATGAACTCCTATCATCACCCCATGGCAGATGAATAGAGTGTTGTGGACTGGAATATATATAAACTTGTCTGAAATCTACCTTGAAAGTTGTACTTCATTTCTGCGTGCTTAATAATTATGTACTTATAATATGTATATGTGTACATATGCATTTCTTAATAATTCTAATATATTGGTTCCACTGCCTGCCTCGAAAGTGCAAGGTCCTGAGATCAATCCGCGGTACCCCCAAAAAAATTCTAGTATAAACACTAGCATATACATAGAGGTAGCTGATAAATGTTCAGTGACACACTCTTTGGAAGATGAATTGTGACTATAGCACTTGCCAATTTCCGTGGGTAAATGTCAATTTCAAGCTACCAATGGTTGAAAAACTAGCTTGCAAAATTTCTGAAAATTTAAGTTCTTGAAAAACAATACAAGCTGCCTCCAGCACATCAAAATTTCTAAATATTTGACTTGATCAAACCATCAAAAGGAATTCAAAAGAGAAAAATATACAGTATACATATATATTCTTTATTGCAACTATACTATTTTGACAGATTATATAAAAATATAGAACCATATGCAGTTTTTGAATTATAAAAAGCTGCTAGTACTTTACTACTTAATCACACTAAAATCTATTGACCTAATAGAACTGTCTTCAGATAATCTCAAGTAGAAAAATACTCCTGTAAAAACAAAGAAGGGAAGGAGGGAGAGAGAGAAGAAAGGAGGGAGGGGGGCAGAAGACATAAGGAGATAAAGATAGCCCAAGAAGAAAACCAAAAACTACATTTCTCTATTTCCTTTGGAAATATTAACTGTTTCAAAAGATGGCTTTGCATGAGCTGTATATTGAATAGTCCCTGTACAAAATATTTGTATTTGTGGTGTTCCTTTGGGGAAAAAATGACATGTTTGGGTGGACCTGGTAAGGGGACACTCTGTTAGTACTTAGTCTCAGGTTGCTGTCATCTTTCCTATGGAATAATATGCTACTAGTGTTGTACCTAGAAACCAATCCTCATGCTCTTTTCCCTCTTCCCATGCCCTTCTCCAAACTATTAAGGTCATATTTTGCTGAGTGGCATGTAACATGTTCTTTTCTGGGGGGATAAAGAGTAGCAAGGAGTAAGGAATTAGAAATCGATGCAGAGGACAGTAATGAGAAGGTGTTAGGTTCCCAGCATAGTGCTCAACATGGTGGCTGCCCCAGGAGAAAATGGGAAGAAAATGCTTCTTAATCAGGAGAGCCTCCCTCCTCCTCTTTCAGTCCCTTTCCCTCTACTTGACCCTTGTCTTTGCAGCATGTATCCCTCCTTTTCCTCTCACTCCTGTGGAAAAGTTTTCTTTTTGAACTTATATCTTCATTTTTCTCCTTATTTATTTTTTATTTCATTCCTTCCCTCCTTTCTCATCTCAATAATATGGAAGTACATATTTGGCTTATTGAGAAGAAATATTGTTTTATGTCTTGCTCTTGAATTTTAAAAAATTGAAACACAAAAGACAAGTCTTCTAAACTTAGTAGGTTATATTTTTATTATCAGGACAGTGACTATAGTAAATAACATGTTGAAATTTAATCTTTAAAAAAATGAAAATAATATTTACATAAAAAGTATTCTTCAACACAAATATTCTAAAAATAGATTAATTCTAGACAACAAAAAGATAAGATTTGAAAGAAATAAAATCCATAAAAATCAAGTTATATTATGTTTAACCTATTTTCTAGAAATACTTACATTTAAATAAGCATAAAATTATTTTACCAATAATTTACAATCCAACACATTAGAGAATGTGATGTATTTCTCATATTTCACTTAGGGTTTAACTAATAAACCAGACCACCAAGTTCCACTAACTTGCTGCAAATGGCCACATGAGAACATCATATGTCTGGGACCCAACACATATCTCACCGCTCCATGAGTTAAAATGGCCTTCAAGGAAATCAGGAAAAACTTTCAGTAATATTTTTATGGTTAGCTCTTCCCTTCTCAAAAGCTAGATCTTATGCCCTCTTCCAAATATTGTATGAGTATGTGATTTTACAGAAAATGGAATAAAGAAGTCAACGCACCCCCACCCAAAAATATTCCCAATGTTCTTGATATTTCAATTGAAAATGTTTTAATTGATTGACTTATCTTGAAAATTATGTTTTCCCTTCCACTGGTAAACACACATGATCATAGACACTCTACTACCATATTAAGAAATGGATGTAATTAAAGTACTTATTTCACCATTATTAAGTTGTGCATTGTATTATAATTAACTCAATAGCAATAATAACTATTGCCCTGCTTCATAGCAAAATACACACATACACATAGATTACATTCTGATGTTCATTGTATATGCAATAAGATAGCAGTTGTATGTTAGCTGATGCCATTCATATATTCAACCAGCTAACAATACACTGCCAACCCATCACACACAGGTAACCGCTGCACTTCATCAACAAGGGGAATGTATCCAGAAGCACATGGCAGGATAGCTGTGGCTACTGACCTGACCCAAAGCAGCCACCTAAGAATACTCTGCCTACCTGATTCAGGTCATTCCTGCTTTTCATGGCCCATGAGTCACGGAAGCTAAATTTGTGATAGGATACACAGTAGCAAGACATTAGTCATTGCATTCTGAAAGTTCAGCTATGTATTCAATTTAGAGTGTTACCACTTGAATACAGAAAAAATTATCTGGAAAAAAATCTGTAAAAATATTGATGGGTTTAAAACTAAAATCTAAGAGTAAAAAAGTTAAAGGTGTACTATTTAGCCAACAAAGAAATGTGGTAAATGTTCATAACGAGAAACTTAAAACGTATAAGGGCTGTTTATGTGGAAAATTTTTTAATTTTTTAACTTTTTACACTGATTACAAGAGAAACTAAAGACCTTTGGGTTGGACCTTTCCAGGGCAGAAGTATTACACTGGATCAAGTTTTAAATTGCTAAGAGCCCGAGGTTATGTCACTTCTCCACATTGTCCTCAAGATGGCATCATTTCCACTTCTTCGGGGAGAGTGCTTCTGAACGCAACAGAGAGGAGTGCAACTAGCAACTGTTAAAATGAAAATCTAACAGCCAGCTAGCAAAGCACTGCCTATCTGTCACGTCCAACTTTCATCTTTTGCTCTTAAGGCAAAAACTAGGAAGCACCATTCGGATAAAAACGATTACCATTATGTCAGCGATCTTCAACTTCTTGGAATTCTTTTAGTATTGGATTCTGTACTTATTTTCAGACCAGCCCATACTTCTCCCAAATGCCTTTTTAGCAACCATTAGTTTGCTGGAAATCAAAATGAAGACAGCAAGAGCAAGCCCTGGACACTCACCTTGGGGGAACCTCGACTTCTCTGCTGCTTCATGTCCTCGGCGAGCACCCGCATAACATTCTCCTTTGAAAACATAGATAACATGTTGAGAATGAAACTATTTGGGAAAATAATAATGTTAGATGTGAACTTTTTCTAGATCCTGGCTTTTCAAACCAAATTCTCTCTTTTTTTTTTTTTTTTAAGCAACCAGGCACCTCCAGAGTATAACTAAATTATACAACTCAAAATTAAGACCAGGATGTAGTTTGGGCCACTTCATGACGCTAAACAGGTATTTAAATGGTGACTTTGGAAAGAAGCCCCTTAGAGACCTGGGAGGAGGAAGAGAAGGGCCTTACTCACCCACAGCATCTCTTCTTCGGTCCGGATCCTCCGCCGGGCGGTGCGCTCCAGTTTCCACTCCATCTCTGGCAGGCGTTGCTGTACCTGGAGTGTAGCTTCTCCTGGACCTTTTCCGGTTACTCGTCCCCGCCCCCAGGGCTCAGACAGATTTAACGTCTAATCATTAAGCCCCTAGAATCTCGTCCCCCAGGACCATCACATTTCACCACCTACCTCTATTTTTCTCAACTCTTTCCACAGTCCCAGAGAGTGGTCCCCGGGGTACTCCTTTAAAAAGCCGGCTGGGCGGCCCCCAGAGCGGGAATCCCCCTCCCCGGCTTCTCATTGGTCGCCTATAAGGTGACGTCAAGCCCGGGAGGGATTCCCCTGGCGTGAGCGGCCCCGCCCCGCGACGGCCAGGGCGCGCACCCGAGCGCCAAATTTTGTGGCGGGCGGTGGCGGGCTCCAGCCCCGGCCGGGCGCTGAAGATCCTCAGGGCCCCTGGAGGCCAGGGGTTGGCGGGCAAAGAAGCGGGTTTTGTCAGTTAGCTCTCCGTTTTCAGAAACAAAACTCTTCGTTCTAATGAGCTGTCTTCTGAGCTCCCACCTCTCTCTTTGAGGTCGGAAGGTGCAGTAAACTCCAGCCTTCCGTCCTTTGGTCCCTTTTGTCGTGATCATGGTGTGAGCCGGGCTTAGACCTGTTCCCAACGTGTCCTTCAGCTCCTCATCTTCAGAGGCAAGGAAACGTGGCGAGAAATCTGTGATGACAAGGGGAAACACTGACATTTATTCAGTAAATTTTCCTCTGCTCTATCCATTGGGAAGGTTACCTCACTGGAACTTCTGAGCTCTCTTCCTAACCAGGCTTATGAGATGAAAGGGCCAGTGACAGGAAGGACCTCAGAAGAAGAGCTAGGAAAAAAGCTGAGCAGACTTTTTGTCACTGGGGGCTAAATGACAAAGGGAGAAAGGGGAAGTGTCGTTGAGGGAGGGCTCTGCAGGGAAACACAAGGAGCTAGATGGGCTGAGCAGCCTTAGCTGCCCTCTCAACCGCCAGGAGAGGCAACCTGGGCCATATGGCAGGAGGGCAGACCGCATCTGGGAAACCTGACAGTCTGGCTGTGGCTTTCCCTCCTGCCTCACTCACCCCCCACCTCCAGTTGACACAGGTTGAATTTTGCTCTAATGTAGAGAGTTCGTGCATTTTTCTGAGGAAAGATTCACAGACATCAAATACTCAAAGGGGTCAATGATCAAAACGTAAAAAATTAAACTCACTCTAATGCTTTTCTTGATAGTGAAAGCAAGAAAATGACATCAAGGTTAAGGCCCCAATTTTAGACCAGTTTCCTATGTAGAAGGTTAAGGAACATGATAGAGGTTAGGAAAAATGCTGCACAGGGTAACTTAATCTTCAAATGAGATTTATCAAAATGTTTGATAGTCAACTCTTGGATCTCTGTTGCACCCACAAGCTTTTTTTTATTTTATTTTTTTGTTTTTTTGTTTTTTGAGATATGGTCTTCCTATGTAATTCAGGCTGGCCTTGAATTTACTATGTAGCCCAGGTTGACCTGGAACTCATGGTGATCCTCCTGCCTCTGCCTCCTGAGTGCTGGGATTTTAGGCATGCATCACCACCCCCAGAAATTCTACTTTTCTTCTAGTGCATTCCCAGAAATATTCATTCCATGTTCTAGTAAATCCCTTCATTAAACATTGAGTCTAAATAAAGTGAACTATTATTAATAAAGTGAGTCAGATCCACTGTTAAATTATCAGTTTTACAAATGCCAACTAAAATTAGCAATACATTGGAAATAATATGAAATTCTTTTTATCTTTTTCTATTTTAAATATATTTTACATTTATTCACTTTGTACAAAGAATAATTCTAATAATGAGTTTGTTAATCCATTTAAATGAGTTTTTAGAATTGAAGGTCTTACAAGTACTACAAATAGTGAATTATTCACTTAGAATGCAGTTATCTTTAAGTAATATTTATAAATTGCATTTTAATTGCTAATTCCACAACATGAATGCCTTTTTCTTTCTAGTGTAAACCAGGAAAGTATTAGTCTAATATCTTCCTTTAAAAAGTTATTGTTCATTTAAATACTTATTAAATTTTGATAGGAAATGATGGAAATACATTAATCACCATTTGGCAAATACCCTAATAATAACTGTTGTAGTTTAAAAAATCATGAATGCTAAAATTATTATGCATATGATGAGGATATTTGCCCTTGATGATTAAATACAAAAAGAAAAATCAAAACTTTTCATTGAACAAGCCTGGCAGGCACCAAGGAGACCCAAGGTTAACCCAAGGTGATCACATTTATCACCATTAAAGAGACCTTTTAATGAGTGCCTCCTGATATAATGCTCTGAGGAGGGTACAACCTCATTTCTGTGATATTCTTGCCCAAAAAAAATGCATAACATGAATTAAATGAGAGAATGCCAGACAAACTCAAATTGAAGGACATTCCACAAAATAACTGGCTAGTGCTCTTCAAATAACATCAGGGTCATGAAAAAAAGACTAAGAAACTGTCACAGATTAGGAGAAACTAAACATGAAAACTACCTGTATTGTTAGGTTTTGAACTAAATCCATCACCAGAAAAAAAGCACATTGATTGAATAATTGTAAAAGTTTGAATAGTATCTGTAAGTTAGTTAACAAAGTACTAGTACTTGTAATGATTTCCTAGTTATGATGATTGTACTATGATTACAAAATTTTAACTTTTGGAGAAGCTGGCGGAAGAACACACTGGCACTCTTTGTACTATTTTTTTTGTCTATAATTAATCAAAATGAAAACCTTTAAGTGTAACAATGTGTGGACATTATAATAAACTATGGTACAGGCCATGCCGGCCTGGCAAGTGCAAGGTCCCGAGTTCAATCCCCGGTACCGGAAAAAAAAAAAAAAAAAAAAACTGGTGCAACTGTTTAGGGGAAATGGAAATATTCTGTCAATATTTTATCTTAATTTTTATTCACTACAGTTTAGGAAAGATGTCTAATTCAAATGTTCATGCGCCTGTAATTACCTTAAAAATGTTCCCTCTTTGAGAATACGATTTTGAAGAGGGACAGATGTGTGATAAGAAGGCTCTGGGAAAGCCACCTCCCAGGCCCACTCAAAGGATTTAAGAGTTAGTGGTTGACAGGTGACCGGACAAGACGTGGCGCGGGGAGAATAGGACAGAAAGTGTGGAAATGTTTTTGACTCCCAAATCTGTCATTACTCTGACCGGGCGTGATGGGGCACGCCTGTGATGCCTGCACTGGCAGGCTGACCAAGATCGCCATTTCGAGGCCAGCCTGGGCTACTTGGTGGGTCCAACGCCAGTCTAAACTACGGAGCGAGATCCTTTCTCAAAAACAAGAACAAAATCAAATCTGTCATTACTCAGAGTCTGAGCGGGTCCCTACCGATGGGAAGCAAGAGGGAATGCAAGCTTCCCAAAAGCAGGTTTTTTACCCAATTACTGTATATAATTACACTTTCGTTCAAAATAATGTTAAACGTCTCAGATACACGCAAGATACGAGGAAAACTCCCCCCAGCCCCTCTCCCAATCCCTTCCTCGCCCGAGCGAGCGTGCCAGGCCGCAGGCTCTCGGGGCGTCCGCGTGCGCACGGACGTCAGGACGCGGACTCTCCCTCACACCGCGGGCCCTCGTCAAGTTTATTGTTCTGCAACTTGCCTTTTCTACTTCACTGCTTTTTCTACTTCACAAAAAATGAATTGTTTTTCCAGAAACGCCACCCGGAGAATCTCCCATTGTCAACTCCAACTCCAACGACGGACTCGAGCGCCGGGGCCCGCCCTGCTCAGCCCGCTCCGGCTCCCGCGCACGCCTCCGCCCCCGCCCAGCTCCCGCGCCGGCTCCCGCGTTCGCCCGCCTGCCCCGCGAGCGCCTACTGGATAAAACGGGCGGTTGGTGCTGGCACCAACGGTCGGAGGCACGTGCCCCGCCGGGTGAGGGCGGGGACGTTGGTTGGTTAACCCCACGCGGCTAGGTTAATGCAACTCCATCCGGTGTCGGGCCAGGAGAGTGGAGGAAGAGGTGAACTTGGGGTGGCTACAGTCAAGTGGAGCAAGTCAGCCAGGAAGGGAAAAGTAGAGAGGAAAGAAATCCTTGCAGCAGGCCTAATCAACTTTGAGGACTTGGGCTCCCTAGAGTAATAGAGTTAACAACAGCGCGAAGGAATGAGTGAATGAATCCCTTATGATCTAGACTATCAGTAGAGCGCCAGAAAATTTAATTTGCAAAGGTTCTAGCAATGTGAACACCTCAATCAGAAGAATAATCTTTTTTATAGTTTTTATTAGTATATCTTTGTAATACACAACATTCATCATGGAGTATTGGTACATGTACATATTGCATCTTGAGGCTTTTTAAAAAAATAGTAATAAGGTAGGCCTTCATCTCTGGTTATATGTCCCTTTTATTTTTCATTTTATGTATAGGCATATTTTTTTTTCTCTTACTGCCTGATACCTGACAGAGTCTGTCCTTTTAACATTTATTTCTTCACCCATACCCAGTTAAGGAAGATGGCAAATGAAGTTTGCCCAACTTTTAAAGTAGTGATGGCAAACCTTTTAGAGACCCAGTGCCCAAACTGCAGCCCAAAACCCACTTGTTTATTGCAAAGTGCCAACACTGCAATTAAACCTGAATACTGGCGTTTTAGTTTAGAAAAAAACAACTCGTGCATTAACATCTTTTGTCTTAAAAACAACACACATGCCATAGGTTCACCACGACTGTATTAAAGCATTGAAATCAAGATCACCTCCAACACCCTAATTCCTTTAATACATTTTTCTCTGCTACTCAAGAGAGTTCCACACAATTTTAAGGCAATAAAAGAAAATAACAAACTAAAATTACTACGGTAGATGAAATCAAGCAGATAAACATTGTACCCTTCTCAAAGAAAAGCTGGCTCCTGAATGCTCTGGACTGAAAATTTGTATTTCTCTACCTACTATACCAGCACTTCAAACGCAACATAATCCAAACAGAAGGAAGAATCTTTCCAATTCCCATTCTACCAAAAATCATCTATTTCTCCTCTATGTGCTCTGTTGCCAATACCACTATCTTTCTGGTGGGACAGAGTCAACATCTTTAACTGCTTCCCTTTCTCCCATACCCAAATGCAGCCATCAGGGAGAGTCATTTTGCCTCAGCAGTGTTGATTACATTTGTCCTCTTGAGCAATAGCAATAACCTAATAACTCAGCCTCCAGTCTATTCCTCCTCTAGTCCATTTAACATATTTATTTGCACCCAGAAAATGCCATGCACTATAAAAAACAATGGAGATACACTGATAATGTTATAAGAAGCAGTAAGCACTATGTTGGGCTGATCATATTTCTCCCCTGCCCAAAATCCCTTCCTTGCACATTCAATTAAGTTCCAAGTTCTCTAGTTCACATACAGCCCTCTTATCATTTTCTCTGGGCCATTCTGGAATCACCTTCCACAGTACCACCAATGCCTTCTACTCCTCCTGAAAGAGTTGATGTCCAGAATCTTCCTGCCTCTAGATCAGCTGAGGCGACCTCACATTTGGACTATCTTTCTGCTCTATTCTCCTGTTGGAAACTTAAATCTTCAAGTTTTGGCTATCTTTTTCAAAGAGCTTTGGGGGCTGGGGATTTAGCTCAGTGTTTCTGCCACCTGCCTTGCAAGCGCAAGGACCCAAGTTTGATTCCCGGTACAAAAAAAATGTTCCCTAAAAAGGCTTCAGCAGTCATGCTAGTTAGAACTTTTTCCTTTTCTCTATGTTATCGTAGCATATTATGTGTACCTCTAGTCTGCTCAAATCCAGATTGTGTGTGTATGTGTGTGTGTGTGTACATCCTCCATCATATTGTAAAGTCCAAAAATACAAGAACCTTGTCTTTTCACATTATGTCCTCTTCAGAGATTGGTTCAGAAGGTGCCGGGATTTAGCTCAGTGGTGCCACCGCCTGCCTCACAAGTGAAAGGTCCTGAGTTTGATCCCTGGTACCAAAAAAAAAAGCCAACAGATATTGGTTCAGAACTTTACACACAGTAAGCTTTACACTTGATGCTCAAAAATTTGTTCAGTAAATCAATTTGTAGATGAGATTTGGACCTTT